GAAAAGTGGCTAGTAAACGTGCATGTGAAGCTATCGAAGGAGCGGTTCTATTAATTGAGGCCGCGCGTAGTGGAGTAATTGAACGGAGCGCACCGAGTGCATAATTGAGGGTGTCGACGGAGGGTTGAGAGAAATGCAAGTAGCTCGTTCGAGCGGAACATTAATCGAGAGTTTATCGCAACTTGAGGATTCGATGTGGAAAAGTAAGAAGAAGAAAAATGTAATTTATTTATGAATTTGTATCTCACAATGCACCGCAGCACAATAGAAAATTGTAATTGCGAAAATTTAAAAAAAGTTCTTTATGTCTAGTACAATTATACTATATATATGTATTTTTAATTGAACAATGCTTGAATAAAAAAATTATTGCTAAAAATCGAAAGATTTGACAAACAGAAGTGCCAAATATAGCGGCTAATATAGCCGCGGGAATCACTGGATGTCAGAAAGTGTAAACGTAGCGGCCGAAGCGGAGCAACGAGGGATGATCCACTCCGCTCCCTAATGCCTAAACACCCTAATAGCTCCGTAAACAGCGGAACCGACCGCGCGCTTTGAAGTCGACGCGATTTCGAATTTTCGAAAAGATCCAGGCGGAAACGCCGAGCCGCGTTTGACTTGTAAGCGGATAACGTTGAGTCAATGGCTTATTGTTTCGGAGGGGTCGTGGATCGGAACAGTTCGAGGGTTATCGATGGGATTGTGTTTGCCCAGTTGGACCAATAAACGACCTTCCTTCCCGACACCGAAAGCGCAGCTCCGCTTTCGGGATTTCCGCTGCAGAGCATCGTGACGAAAACATTTTCAAATTACATCGAGTTAATGCTGAATTAATTATTAACAAACATTCAACAATAGAAAAGTCAGCATTAATTAAAAAAATAAATCCTAATTACGATATATTATGTAAGTAAAAAGTGTGCAAAAGAATAAAGTTCTTGTAGTGATAAAAAATTAGACTCAATGTCGCTATACATTCACCAGAAAAAGAATGTGAAGAGAAAAGAAAGAATCGCTCGCAATGGATGCCAAACGAGATTCGGAAGACATTTCGCTCGATTTCGAGACGCGGATTTGGTTTTCTTGAATTTGCTATTGTCCTTCTTTCTGTGTGCGATTTGTAGCTACCCTACCGTCAACTCTGCTTCCATTAATGGCAAAATCTGACAAAGTTAAAACATTTTTTACATATAATACCTTACAGATAAAGAGAAAGTTATTTTTTTTCACGACTTTATAACTTTTTACGACTTTTGTACATTTTACAAACTTGATTTTAATAAATAGGAAATGAAAAATTTTTTATTTATGAAGATGATAAAAAAACACTAAAATAAAAGAAGTGAACTTTCGACAAAGTTCTATTGCAAAACTTTATACGCTGAAGATAAAACGAGCGAATTAGCTGACGATTCGCGATGTAATACCGGCACTCGAAACGCGCCTTGCTCGGAAAAGATGATTCGAGAACGAAATAAAGGCAGTTATCCTAGGGGCAGCAGGTGACGCAAAGGCATAGAACAGATAAAGGACATTTTATCTCGGAGAATAACGCCCTGTAGAGCGTGAGTTCGTTCCTCCCTATCCTCCTTTGCCACCCTCTCGGCAGCCTCTCATCCTCTCTCTCTTTTGGCCCCCTTCACTTCTCTCGCTCGTTTTTTTTATCCCGAGCATTCGCGTTATCCGCATCGAATCTTTCAATAAAAAATTTTGTAGCCCCGCAGAGTCAGCGCCATTTTGTGAGTTTAAATGGAAATCCGGCCGGGAGAGTGGCAGGGGGTGGCGACCGGGAGGACGGCGAGCACTCTTAGCATGCAAATTAAAGTGCTGCCATTTGAATGCGAATAAAACGCCCCCGAGAGCCGAGAGCAACGTAGAAAAAGAGGGCGGAGAGCAGAGGAGGGGAAGAAAGAGAAAGAGAGAAAGAGAGAGAGGGTGACAGAGAAGTACGGAGGGAGGGCAAACGGAAAGCTGGGCTTGACAGATCGCGCGACAGAGGTGCTTACGCGGTCGAAGAGGAAATTTCGAAAAGAATTTCTCTTTCACCCCTCTACGCTCCGTCGACCAAATTTGGCATTGCTCGCAAGCTATCCTTACTATCAAATTTCTCTCGGTTTATCTAGACGACCTCGATTTTATTCAGATTTCTATACAGCTCATTTCTGACTATTATCCATTCATTAATTTACATTATTGAGCCATTATTAATTTATATTATTTCTTACGTATAATTTATCATTCGCATTCAATCAAATTTTCCGCCATCTCATAAAAGTGTAATAAACACTTAAAAATTTTCAACTAAACTTTTTCTCGCGAATAGAGGAATGAATAAACAATCGTACAGTATTCAACCAGCCACGCCGAAAGCCGAAAGAAATACAGCTATTCGAATGAGACGCGTAATCTGTTTCGCCACAAATCACGCCTACATCCCCGTGCCGTCTTATTCGAACCTTCATTCATTCCAAGGGCACGGAGAGCCTTTCTCGCTTTGGTTATTACCTGGAGGATCTCTTATAGCGACGCGGTCCGTCGCCGCGACAGTTATGAAATTTCTTTAGAATTATTTCGCTCGCCTAATGTCGCCTCGTGAAGTTCCTCGGCGCGGCTCGCTGGAATAAGAAATAATATTTTCTCCCGCAGGGAGGAATGGTGTCTCTACCTCTCCCTCACTACCCCTGCCCTCGTGTAACGCACTAGACGCCTTCAGGATTTAATGCGGCTTTATGAAAACCATCGTGAAAACTCTTAATTGCCGGAGAAGCGGCCAAGAAATTACGCGTCTTAAAAAAGCTCGGCTTCTGCCAAGATCGCCTTATGCAATGCTTGCAAATATATAGGGTGTAACTAAAATATCGTGTTGAAAGTATAGGTGTATTTAAAATTAAGTCGTATTTTCCATCATTTAATTTCGTCGCGTTTACTGATGTATAAAGTATGTAAAAAGTGGTATGCGTCAAATCCAATAAAAATCTTATATTCTATTTGAAAACATAAAAACAAATCTATTTTAATTAATAATTATACTCTATTAAAACAGTCTGCTCAAAAAAATAAAAATTCAATATTAATTCAGATAACAAAATTAACAAAATTTTGTCCTAAAATTTGATGACTGTAACTAAAAGAACCCTGTATAAGCGCGAATATATATACACTTAGGCATCGCCGAGAATTTAATAGCGGAGGAATGTAGGAAGTTGAATGGCGAATGCTAAATCCTCAAGGTGCATGCCTCATCCAAAATCCTAGTGAGAATTAATATCTTCGTCGAGTCCTGTCCCTTGCTCAAATATTTTCTTCCCTGCTTTATAAAGGCTGAGATGATGATTGTTAAATTTTAAGTATCTACTTGTAGATGAGTGTGATATAGAGCGGCGCTTATGATTTATATATACATCTGACATTAAATTTATTGACCACGTAATTCTTATTAAGAATCTCTCCTGGCAACAACTTTAGTTTCTTTGGCTTTGCCAACGCATTCATTCAATCTCTTTATATTGAAATTCAACATAAAACAAATGTGCCAAGATTTCTATATTAATTTTGTAATAAATATAACTTATTTCTAGAAATTACATGCATTTGGCAACTGTTTTATAAGCTGAATACTAAATATATCAGTAATAAAATCCCAAATTAAATGTTTGCTCAACAAAGCTTTACTTGTATTTAATTAAAAAGCAAAATAATTAACTAGCATCTCAACTTTGAAATCACTATTATTTTTCTTAATATAAATTAGTTTAATTATAATTATTCAAAATTATTGTACACGGTTGAACAAAAATTTATTTTTACAATACACCAAAGAAATTCATTTAAAGTTTCAATAATTGTATTAAATCATTAAATATGCAATTTCTCTTTATTTTAAGAGATTTATCATCTGGTTTAAGAATTGTTATCTCATCTCGTCATTTGAGTAAGAGGAACAGAACTCGATAAAGATATTTTTTCCTGCTCTCTAACAAATGGAATAAAGACAGTCCGCCGAGTATAAAACCAATCATTCGGGCTGTTGGAACCCAATCAGTACAGAGGTTGAAAAGGTCTGGAAAGAAGATTGCCCGATTCAACAAAGAGATGCAAATAAATGAGACGCTTCGATATTGTATCAATGAATGAAGAACCGGAGCAAACGAGAAAAAAAGACCGAGAAAGTGGAGGTGCTCCTAGCCGGAGATGCGGCGGGAAATAGAGATGAACGAAATAAATAAAGAAAAAATAGGGGAACGCTTAGGGTACCAGCTAGCGAGAGCGGTGGATTTGAATATTGATTCGTTTTATTTAAATTCCGCGTCCTTATCGGTCGCCGGATATCTTTCGCTGGAATTGGACGCGATAACGAAAAGCGAAATGGCACCGGATCGGGCGAATAGGCTGGATTGGCGCGAGCACTCGCGCTCGTCGAAAGGAGGGCCATTTCGGGGTACGAACGGAGACGGCGGGTGCCATAGGACAGAAGGGAAATGCAAAGGGAAGCGAATGGAATTTATAAAACGATTTTTCTTCCTTCTTAAACGCTCTCGTGCGCGCTCGATCGCTTTCCGCCTTTCACGACGCGCTCGAAACCGGCGTAGAGACGGTGCGAGATATTCCCGCAGGAACTACTCCGAAATATATTCGCGCATTCGTCGAGTCTTGACGGAAGCAAAGGTGTATTGTCGAGAAGAAACGTCTGCGAAATGTTGTTCCCAATCTTCCTTTACCATTTTCTTTACTTTTTGTTATAAGTTCTTATATTTACATCTATACTATCTGTGTATATAGACATATATCTTGTGTGCGGATACGCGGAGAATATTTCCGATATCAGATTCAATCAAAGCTATTATATTTTATTTGCCTAATTTATTAGATTCTTTGATGAATCTAAGATTGGTTAAAGAGAATATTTTTAGGAATCGTGCTAAATATTTTTTTCGGATTAAGTTTCATAAATAATATATAAATGTAATAAAAAAATAATACAAGACTCACCATTGCTGCTTGATGGAACGCAAAGAAAGCAATACAAGACTCATCATCACTATTTGACGGAACGCGAAGAAAAACCTGATTGTCCATATTTGTAAAAAATCTGAAAAATTTTACATAATGAATTTAGTTTGACAGAGCTGATTTCGGAAAATAGAAATAAGAAACAATCTGTTTTATTTTCTACAAAATCGAAAAAGAAAAAATAAAATATCTTTGAACTTTATTCATTGTATTTGTTAAATACTTTAATTTTTAATTAATTTATCAAATGCAGTAAATCATATTACTAAACAAATATTGATTATGCATTTTTATAAACATAACCAAAAATTGACTAACTTCATTAATAAAGTAATTTTTAATTTTTAATTGATAAAATAATACGACAACATATCTGTCAAATAGCGATCACAACATAATAATTATATAAAATAAATAAGGTAACGAATAAATCTATTTACCATGTATCGTGCAGAATGTAATGCTAAAGATGAATACGAATCCATTGGAGAAACGTTTTGCAAAATTCTGACGACATGAAAACCGCGTAACAACTCGTAATTATACAGCACGTTGTTATTTTCGACACTCCCAATACTCGATCGCAACTCAACAATAATATGATAATATAAGAATAACGATGTTTCGAAGTCAATTCGTCACTATGCGTCTAATTTCGTGACTATCATATATTATCTGCGATTATTTCGATTATTTGATGTAACATCACTCTGTACCTCATTTCTGTTTTGCAAATCGAAAATGAATATCGCATGCGAATAAGTATCAAATGTCGAAGCTCGTAATGAGCATTTGTTGAAGCGTATTATAAAACGTAAGTCTTATTCTTGATATATACGACCAGTACCTATATAATATCACATTGAATTAGTATTTGCCGAATTTGCGGCACTAAGTACAATACATACATAACCTACTTACGTGAAAAAAATATAATCCTGATTATTGTGCAAGTATGCATCCCTGCGCTCCTAATTTTGTGATTTTCTTTAATCATCTCGTACTGTATCGATTATTTGATACTTACAGAGATTGCTCTCTATCTCTCGCATCTTTGCTCATCAAAAATTCAATCTCGCCTGCAAATAAATATTGAAAATTCAAAGTAAGTGATATGCAATCGTCCTAACATATTAAAAATTTAATTTTAAGTCGTTTCGTTTTTCGATATATCGCTATACAACCAGTGCAGGTAACATTGAAATTGGTAATTACCGAACTACATATATCTAGTTGCGTAAAAAATAACATACCGAAAATAATCATGAAAACAAGCATTGCTACGCGTTCAATTTTGCGATTGTCTTCAATTAGTACTTATTGCATCGATTATTCAGCACTGATTATACCTGCTTTGTGTCTTTCGTCAGATCTTTCATCAATTTCACAAGCGATCACATATCAACGTCGAAGTCAGTCAAATGAATATATTATACTTGTATCTAGTCGTGAGTATGACTCCTGCTTTCGATATATGCAACTAGTGTTTGTAGTGTCGCGTTGAATTAGCATTTGTCGAATTCGTACCACTAAATGTATACATATCGCGAAAGGAAGCGGCTGTGTAAATATCAAGCGAACACGCCTCATTGTGCACTCAGTTTTATGATTCTTTTACATCATTCCGCGTCACATAACGGTGCACAACGTCTAGTCGTGAGTACTCTAACCCTATTTTCATTTTTCGATATATGCAAGTGGTGTCTGCGATGTCGCGCTTAATAACGTTTGTCCAATTGTCAGATGGCGCCAAGTGTTTAATTATTTTCCTAGATGCGCGGGATAAAAAGAGCGCGAAAAGATCACGTGACCCACGCTTCGGTACACTCTGAATTTTGCAACCATCTTTAATAAATTCTCGTCGCGTCGGTCGTTCATTACTGATCGAGATATTCCTGTGCTTTTCGCATGTTTTGTTCGTCAAATGTACGACCAAACATCAAGATCGTCGAAGCTAATCAGGTACGATCGTCTGAATGTATTATAACTGCATCTAGATATGAGTAACTTCTGCTTTCGATATATGCAGTCGGCGTCTGTAGCGTTGCGTTGAATTAGCACATATTAAATTCATAAATATGTATATCTTGATGCGCGAAAAAGAATGGTAGCGTAAATTCAAGCGAGCGCGCGTTTATTTGACGATGATCTTCAATTATTAAGCATCACGTTACGATATGTCCGGTCGTGAATAATTTAATTCTTTCTTTCTTTTTCTTTCTCTTTCTTTCTCTTCTTTCTCTCTCTCTCTCTTTTCCTTTTCTCTACTTCTATTTCTATTTCTATCTCTAATCTCATCTTTTAATATATGCAACCGATATCTGCAATGTCATGCTTAGTAACGTTAGTCGAATTGTTAGATGGCGCCAAGTATGTAATTATTTCCCTAGATGCGCGGGATAAAAAGAGCGCGAAAAGATCACGTGACCCACGCTTCGGTACACTCTGAATTTTGCAACCATCTTTAATAAATTCTCGTCGCGTTGGTCGTTCATTACTGATCGAGATATTCCTGTGCTTTTCGCATGTTTTGTTCGTCAAATGTACAACCAAGCATCAAGATCGTCGAAGCTAATCAGGTACGATCGTCTGAATGTATTATAACTGCATCTAGATATGAGTAACTTCTGCTTTCGATATATGCAGTCGGTGTCTGTAGCGTTGCGTTGAATTAGTACATATCAAATTCATAAATATGTATATCTTGATGCGCGAAAAAGAATGGTAGCGTAAACTCAAGCGAGCGCGCGTTTATTTGACGACAATCTTCAATTATTAAGCATCACGTTACGATATGTCCGGTCGTGAATAATTTAATTCTTTCTTTCTTTTTCTTTCTCTTTCTTTCTCTTCTTTCTCTCTCTCTCTCTCTCTCTCTCTCTTTTCCTTTTTCTCTACTTCTTTTTCTATTTCTATCTC